GGCCACCTCTCAAACGGGCAGCTCTAAGTCAAAGTTAAGCAGCAACATGGATGCATTTGTTCAAACAGTTAATAATTCTCGTAAGTTCCACATACCACCAAGAAGGCCCCGCTCAGCACCTGAAACACAGAAGCAGCTACAGACCAGGGCTGATGCCCAAGAGAATTTGGCGACATCTGAAAACTTATGAAGTCTGCTAGCTGCATATGCAACATCCATTGGTTCCTTCTCCCTTGCTTGGCAAACCTAACTTTTAGCTGTGTACATTATTAACAAGCTTAAAGGCCACATTTCCCAGCCTCTCTTGCAGCTAGCTGTGATAATGTGACTATGTTCTAACTAATAATATGCAAATGGAAGTGTCATGTGAGACTTCCCAGGAAGTACCTGAAAGGGAGGTACATGCCCTTGTTTTTCCACTCTGTTGCCTGGAACTCAGATGTGAAGACCGGAGCTCAGGCAGCCATTATAAACAGGAAGGTGAGGGCCACACCCTGTGATAAGCAGAGGTTTGGCCTGGGAGAAGCCTGGCAACTTCACAGAAGTACCATACCAACCCTGCATTTCCTACCTCCAGACTTTTTTATGTGAGAGAGAATCAAGCTTTAGTCATGTTTAGTGCTATTATACCATATCCTAACTTTTGCTTTGCTCTTTAAACTATTCATTTTCTCAGGTTTTTTTTCTTTTTTAATTTGCAGACAAAAAGATTTGAAAGTTTATCTTCAAAGACAACTTCCCTCATGGAAACTGTACTCAGCCATGAAGATGAAAGAAAAAAAAGGATCTTAGTGAGACAACTTGGGCCTGAAGAATAATATCAGGAAAGCCCACAAACCCATCTTTTGTTTACCCTTTTCTAAACCAAAGGCAATTGGATTAATTTTTGTAAATCTGAATCATTAGTGTTACCCAAGCAGCAACAGCACATCCTAACATGCTGGGACTGTATATTTTAGGACATTTCTATTTGCGCAACACACAGCAAACATAGGCTAAGAAAGCCCCGCGTACTGAATTGCCGCGCAGGCCAGAGCTACAGAAAACACTAGATCGGTTTCAGAGATTCGTATCTAAGACCAATTCCTTGGTCTCACAGTCAGGCAGGCAAAGTGGACCGTTGAGGAATAGAGATGCTCATTAAAGATAAACGAAGCCCGCTGGTGAGAGGCAGAGGATCATAAAGAATTAAGCGCACCCTGATTTCAATCCCAGCAGCTTTCCAGCGCCTGGGCTGGCACAGCGCTGGCCCCTGCTCACCCTGAAATGCACAAGCCCAGCCCACGGGGTGCAGAGCTGCACAGGGAAGGCACCGACTCTCCCCGAGCTGTTGTTTCAGTCTCCACGGAATACCCAGCTGAGCCTTCTCCTTTCTCGGGCTTTGCAAAGAGCACACTCGGTGCTTGTTCTCCACCTTAGTGAAGTCAGCAAATCAGAAAGTATGCAGGGAGAAAAAAAAAATGCTCCCCTCCACCCTTAGGGCCTCTGGCTGGGCTATGAATTAACTTGACATAAGATAGATTAACAGAAAAACCATTTTAATTATGTATAACGGAGTCCCACAAAATAATATGACACTCAAGGAAGCAACCAGGTGACTGAGGATTAAACTGAGCTACAGAAAGGAATATCGTCTTGGGGCTTCTGGGGACGGAGGGGTGGGGGGGACAATTTCTGGGAGGGAGGGAGGAAGTGTATGATTGAATAAGGGTTGTCTTGTTATGCAAGTAAAAGTCTCTTGAGTAATAAAAGTTGTCAGAGCAGCTCTCTTCCTGGTACAGATACCTTTACCAATGAAAGTTTCCTTTATAGATGTCAACCTGCTTTACAAAAGGGCAATTTTTCAGAGCTACACCTGGGTCTGCGGTTTCTCAAAATAACCAGGTCGAAATAATCAATATGCCACAGAGGACTATGCGGGGTGGCATATTCTGATTCTATACTCGTATTTTGAGGTACTGTGTCCTGAGCCCCAACATTGCATGCAAAGACTTGTCTCCTACTTTATGTCAAACAGTTTTTTAACCACACTGGATGAGCCCGTTGCTGGTGCCCTGTGGGGAAGGAGGGCTGAACATTTGCAGCGGGTGCTACTGACGCCCACCCAGATCCCCTGGGACCCCGTTCCTCACGTACGTACCCAAGCTCCGGCTCCTACTACAGCTCGGCACTGCAAGCTGCTCAGAGGATCGCCTGTGGGCTCCTGGAGCCGCCTCGCCCATGTGGAGATGGAAATGCCTGTGCATTTGTGTCCTGTGGGTGGCTTATAGTGCTGGCTGATCAGCGCAGGAGCTCAGCTCTTTCCTCCAGAAGACAAATTCTGAGATGCAATTTATACACCAGAGCTCCCCTCCGGACCTGGCTGAAGGGGTCCAATTTCTTCACCCGAAATCGGACCCTTGCTTGGCCCATTTCGCTCCCACCTTGCCTCCCCACGCCCTTCTCCAGGAAGCTTCCTTCACAAATCACTGGCACCTGAGTCCCTGGTGCAGGGTCGGCTTCTGGGGGACGCGCCCCAAGGCAGCGTGCTTTGAAAGGAAGGCATGCCCATCGGTTCAAGCAGCATTACCACCGAACCTGAATCTAGGGTCTACTGAGGGCAGCCGTACTCTTCTGGCATTTTATTAGTTGACATTTTCTTCCACAGTGAGAATTTGAGAAACAGAATCAATCAGACCCTGACTTGATTAAATGAGGCTCAGAGCTGTCCCAACTACACCAAACACTGGCACCTGGATAGCACACACCCACCCCGGTCTCAACTCTGCACACATGGGAGACACCCTTGCTGGGAAAAAGGGCAAATCCTCTTTTAAACTGCAGCTGCTGCTAGGCTGAAATTGGACAGACTGCTCACTCCCCACACAAGCCTGAGTTTGAAAATCCACCATTAGAGATTCATTCCTTTGGGTGGAAAGAACCACAACTCCAGACACCTGGATCTTATCAGATATTAACACCTTTTTGAGAAGTGACTTTATCAGGAGGTTGATCCAAAGGTTCTCGTGGTAATTAAGCTATAGGACAAAGAAAACATCTAAAGGTTAATATTTGGGGGATGGTCAGAGGCAGGAGAGCAAGCAGTAGAGGGAAGGCAGAGAAACAGACAGAGGAATTTATAAACAGGACCTGGGGAGCCAAAGGTGACTTACGCTCCTTACAATTTTAACTCAGGGAATCATAGCATTTTCAAATCGACAGGAAATCCAGATATCAGGTAGTGCAATGGTTTTCTAAGTTACGCTGTCAATTTGATTTTCACATACATGTTCCTGGAATCCTAATATTTAAAACAAGTGAAAGGGGAGCTGCCCTAGCCACGGGCAGAGGGAGGCACCGCGCTCTGCCCACAAGATGCCCCTCTCTGCCCCATCCCTGAGCAGCCCTCAGTGTAGCCAAGAACCTGAGACCTCTCCACGCCAGCAGGAAACTGCAGCCTAACACGGCTGTGTGGTCTACAATGGTAGCTAGGAATATTAATCACTTGGATGATGGTAATAGCCACCATATATAGAGCAATTAACACTCAATTAAATCTAAGCACCGTGATAAATAAACTCTTTATAAAGATTCCCTCATTTAATCCCCATAATAGCCCTATGGGTTGGTACCATTATTATTCCTATTTTGCCAATGAAGAGGTGCACAGGTTAAATATTAAAGTCATTCAGTATGAAATGCCCAATTTCCTTAAATACTAAGTTTGACAGTTGATATCTCTGACGTTTCACTTTGACACTTCTTGTTTTATTTTTACTGTGAAGGTGCATCCTCAGCCTCTCAAACGCACGTTTTGGCTTGTGATTATCTTTCACAGGTTACATAACATCTCGTAAGTGTTGGAGGCGGGATTCTAACCCAGGCCATCTGGCTCCAGACCAGCCCCTGTGCTTCTCCCAAGTCAGAGCCGTGGGAACCAAGGTTGAGCACATGGGACATGTGCTGTGGACAGCCAGAGGGTTAATGACTGCAGAGCAGGACCCGAGGACCCGGAATCCGTGGTGCCGACTCCCCGCCTGGGGTTCCATAGCAATTCCTTCACCCGAGAGAGCAAGTCAGTCCTTCAGCAAGAAACCCAGCCCTGTAGAGTGGACCCCCGACCTACTGGGTCCACACCATGCCAGCCTTGTCCCCAGTCTCACCAAAGCATGCTCTACTTGCCAATCCTGCTCTCCTGTGCCACCGTGTCCCAAAATGCCATGCTCACACCACCTCTCCCTTTCTACAAGTTGTCTCCTGAAGGGACTCCCAGGGAACGCCCTTCCGCTGCTCTTCCGATGAACTCCCACCCAGCCAGCCTCCTCACACCCTGTCACACACGTTCCTCCCCACGGAGGCACCTTTACCCCAGTGCATGTCCGCCCTTCCCTCCCACTGTGAGCTCCAAGAGTGAGCCCCAGGTGTGGCTCACCCGGTACCCTGGAACCTCCTGCAGGGCTGGCACTGAGGCATGCTCCGTGGAGAAGGAATGAATAAGCAAACAGCCAATGAGATCACTGTCAAAAACAACTGGTTGTCTCTTACCACCAAAAATAAGTATTTTCGGTCATGCATATGTTAATCAGCTTGATTTAGCCATTCAACCCTGTATGCACATTTCAAAACAACATGTGTACATAGTAAATATATATAAATTTTGTCAATAAAGAATACAAGATTATCAAGTATATTTTGTACACCCAATTTTTTTATTTCTGTAAGTAAAAAGTACATTAGGAAATAAACAATAATTGCTTTCTATAAAATAAAAAAACAATCTCAGGGAAATGCAAACCAAAACTACAATGAGATGCCACCTCACACCTGTTACGATGGCTTTTATAAAAAAAAAAAAAAAAAAAACACGAGAGCTGACACTGGCTGCCTTGTTCTCCGCCCACCAAGATGGCACTCAACCCTGCAGTTTCTTTTCTTTTTTTTTTAATTTATTTTTATTTATTATTTTTTTTATTTCAGCATATTATGGGGGTACAGATTTTAAGATTTCAATAAATGGCCATTCCCCCTTCCCCCCCTGCAGTTTCTTAATATGGTGAATTAACACTGATATTTGAATGTTAAGTGAACCCTGCAGTCTTGGAATAAACCCCACTTGGTCATGAGAGCAACATCTCAGACACGTCGAAAAAGATGTTTTGATCCCTAAAATAATGACAGAAAAGGCCAGAGAGAGGTGTTCTGAACAAGTTCAAGATTTTACCGAATGTTGCAAGAACTCTGGACTCCTTATGGTAGTAAAATGCCAAAAAGAAAACTCTGCATTGAAAGAGCGTCTAACTGCTTACTATAATGATCCAGTCTTTTACGAAGAATGCAAAATGGAATACTTGAAGGAAAGGGAAGAATTTAGAAAAACTGGAATTCCTACCAAGAAAAGGCTAGAGAAGCTTCCCACGAGCATGTAGGCAAATATTCCAGTGATACTTAGGAACTCTAATATTTATGGAAGTCATTCATAGTATAAATCAACGGAAATAAATAAATCAGCACTCAAGAAAAAACAAAAACAAACATAAGGATGTGGAGAAATTGTGGAGAATACACTGTTGGAATATAAAATAGGGTAGTTGCTATGAAAAACAGTATGGATGTTCCTTAAAAAAATATTTTTCTACCAAAAAAAATTAAAAATAGAACAAAGCATATGATGCAGCAATCCCAGTTCTGAATACATATCCAAACGAACCGAGTTCGGGATCTTGAAGAGACTTCTGCCCTCTCACGTTCAATGTGGCATTATTCGCAACAGCCAAGATACAGGAACAACCCAAGCTCCCATCAATAGATGAAGAGATAACGAAAATGTGGCATATACATGCAATAAAATATTATTCAGCTCTAAAAAAGAAGGAGATTCTGCCATTTGCAAGCACATGGACGAACTGGGAAAGCACCACGCTAAGTGGAATAAGCCAGTCATAGAAGGACAAAGACTGCATGATTCCCCCCACTCGAGGCATCTAAAATAGTCAAACCTATCAAAGCAGAGAATGATGGTTGCCAGGGGCTAGGGCTCGGGGGAAATTGGGAGCTGTTGTTCAAAGGGTATAAAGTTTCAGTTACGTTAGATGAATGTTTTAGAGATCTGCTGTGCAACATAGTGCCTGCAGTTAACAACACAGTATGATAAGCTTCAAAATTTGTTAGGAGGGTAGACCTCACAATATGTGTTCTTCCCATAATTTTTTTTTCAAAGGCAAAGGGACACAAGGAAACGTTGGGAGGTGTTGGATATGTCTATTACCTTGATTACGGTGACAGTATCGCAGGTTTTTGCACATGTCCAAACTCATCAAATTGTTCACATTAAATATGTGCAGTTCTGTGTATATCAATTATACACAATAGAGGCTATTAACCACAAAAAAAGAAAAAGAAACAGAAGAATCACCTAAAATTAAATGATTAAAAGTATACTTTTGCCCACAGACTGCCGTTTTCTAGACAGGTAGCATGCAGTTCTACTAATTAACATATACACTGGATTTCCCACAGCTTCTCTGCGCGTCGGCCTCCCTGGGGTAGAAGGGACTGAGGGACAAGGTGCAGCCACCCATCCACTCTTGAGCGCCCCACCCTCATCTCTGCCAGTGGTGCCCAGATCCCTCCTCACGCCCACCCAGAACAAGGAGCACAGTCTCTGCCAGGCAGCCCATTCCACCACAGCCTAGTTGTAACTGTTAAAACAAGCCAGAGTAAACAAGAGAAAAACATCCTACATTCAACCTTCACCTGCCTCTGTGTAATTCTTCCACGATGTGCCACCACGCCTGGCTAATTATTTTTTACATAGTTTTAGTTGTCCAGCTAATTTCTTTCTATTTTTTGTTTTTTTTAGTAGAAACAGGGGTCTCACTCTTGCTCAGGCTGGTCTCGAACTCCTGAGCTCAAACAATCCACCCGCCTCAGCTTCCCAGAGCGCTAGGATTACAGGCATGAGCCACTGCGCCCAGCCCCAAGATTATTTTAAACTCTGCAAGAGCCGGGTGACCTTAGGAATTATATGAGAAAAATGTAACATTCTATCAATGTCAAAGGCCTGTAGAATTGGATGGGAAAGACACTTAAATAGTTTAAGAGCCAATGAAGTACAAAATCCAATCAACCCATCAACTTCCATGGGACTGTATACAGACAGCAGAATGAGGAAACATGGAACTTGAATCCAGGGACGGGGTTAGGTGACCACACTTCTCTTAAATTGTGGGGTCTTTGAGAAGGCGTCCCAATAAATGTAGTGTTCCGTGGGTCCTGACAAGTATCTGGAGGGTCCAGTTCCCGTCTGGTCACTGTGTCAGCTCAACTGAGCTGAAAAGGCAGCTCCCGGAATTATGTGGGTGACAAACCAGTTTCGTTGTGAATACATCTCTTGTATGCAATTTTTGGAATTGTGGCTCTCAAGAGATACAGATACACCCTTCCTTGGAATGATCCACTTCAGCCTTGCATTGCTGTTGTTAACTTCTTCCTTCTGCTATTTTCTGCATTCAGCTCAACCTAGCTCTGACCTAAAAGTAACCAAGATCTAAAGTGAGTAAATAGAACTTTAAGATAAAACAGAACAAATTTAATGAATTCGTAGAAAACAAATCTGAGTCTGTCATTGCACTCTCTCTGTCTTGAAATTCCTGGAAAATGGAGACTCACAACTTTTTAATCAAAATTTAATTGGCGCCCTGCACACAATAAGCACTCAGTGATTTCGAGTATAAATGAAAAAAAGTATGTCTCTAATCCCCCAGGTACCAGGGAAACCAATTCCTCATTCTTACTCATTAAAGCCAAATTCTCCAAGCTACTGCCCAAGAAACATCCAGCAACGACTTCTCAGAGCTCCGGCTCTGGGAGAGCCCCTTCCTCTCCCATTCACTACTTCCCACTACCCCACTCTCCTAACCATATTTGGTTTCCATGTCCTCTGAGAGATCTCTGTTATAGGAAATAGAGAGTTATGTTTTAACAAGAATGATCTAGAAAAACACTGGAATGTGAGTTCCTCTCTGTAGAAGCATGCTAACAGTAGGTACATTTCTGGTGATTATTCCCCATCTCCAACTTTGGGATGTGACCTGTGAGCTTCATGCCAGGTATTATGCCTACAAGCCCCAATCACAATCTCTTCCTGACAAGCACCTAAAGATTTTGATTTCACATGAGCCCTGAGCTTACTCAATAATTTTGAAAGTTCTCTCCTACCAAGAAGAGCCTCCTCTCCAAACACGCCTTAAGGAAGAAAATCCAAGGCCTTTGCAGTTTACACCTACACATATAATATTAGAAAAGGCTTAGGTGCCCAAATCCCAGAGACCCATGGGAGCTGTTAAACAATTTGGCTGCCTCAATAAAAATCTGTTATGTCAAAAATTCAAGGGCCTTGGATTGTTTGACCTGGCTTCTTAATAGCAGAGCTGGACTTTCGGATACATAGGAAATCAGCAGCAAACTAAAAGCAATTAAATTCAGTAGCAGACAGTGCAGCAAATCATTTCAAGAGGAGTAGATTAAAATCAGAGGTTGTCAAGCTCCCCGAACATTCGGAGTTGAACACGAAATCACCACGAGAAGGATAGGGGCAGGTATCTGAAGATTAACTTGGAGAAAGACAGTGTTCCAGGGCCAGGAAGGAGGAGTGCAAGTGAAGTTTACTCAAAAACTATCTGCCCTAGGCTCAATGAGTTTAACAACCCTCAGGAGTGAAGGAATCAGAAGAAGGAAGATCATTTGCTGGTCTAACAAAGATCTATTGAGCCCCTTGTTGGGATGTGCCGGGCACCAATCCCAGATGGTGGCAAATAAGAGAGATGCCTTCCTTGGCTTCGTGGAGCTTATAGTCTAGCAAAAAAGTATTTGTCGTGGCATCAAATAATCCATCCCCAGGCTCCCAAATGGTGAGCAGGGGTTCTTGGCCCTATGCTGAAAAGGAAGAGGCAGGACATCCTGGAATACACAAAAATGAGTGGCAGAAAGAGAGAACAACGTGCACCCAAGTACCATCCTTGGGCACAGAGCAACGTGGTCCATACACGTGAGCTGTCTGCTCCTAGTTTGGCATATGCCTCCTGTTGAGGGTAGATGGTTCTAATGGCGGTTAAACATCTGACTCTCACCCCTTTCTTCAATTCTGTGCTCAGCAAATAACACCCTTGTCATAACTGGGCTTTCCAGATATGACAATGACCATTAGTGACTTTCTTAATACTTATTTTCTCCTTCTTTCCATCAAAGAAGAAAACCTTCACCTCTGCCATCTTACATTCTATATGTGGTGGCCTACAAATTAAGCTAACAAAAGACAGATTAAAAAGAGAAAAGACACAACATTTTTATAATATTTACATGTATGGGAGTTTACAGAAAAGAAGTGAAATTCAAAGAAGCAGATAAGCTGGAGACTTATATATCATTTCAACAGAGAAAAGGGGGCTGGGTTTTAAGGGGTGATAAATTGTGGAGAAGGTGCTAGCAAATATATGAGGGAAGTAATGGAAGATAAGGGCTATTCTAGTAAGGTCTGCTTATGCAAACTCATCTCCATATCGGCTCTCAGCCGCCAGTGATAAAAGTCACTCTTCTCTTCCCAGTTCAGAGGGGGCATTTCTTATAGGGAAATTTATGCCCTGCTTCTATGCTGATAAGAGGAGGGCAGAGAATTCTTCCCGCATCTGTTGATTCTCAATTGCCTTTAGCTCAAAAAATATGGCATAATTTGGGGTGGCATATTCTGATCCACTTCATTTCTTAATAATAGAACATCCGGCTGGATATATGGCCACCTAGAATAAAGACTACATTTCCCAGGAGCCATTGCAGTCAGGTTTATCCAAATGACTTAGTTCTGGACAATGGGATATGAGAAGTGTTATGTGCAACCTCTGCATCCGGCTCCCAGAGGAAATGCACCTGCCCTTCTCTGCTTTCCCACTGGCTGGAAAGCAGACACAGTAGGAGACATTCTTGATCACATGGCTGAGGTCACACCCTAGGGGTGATGAAAAAATAAATAGAAGGAAATTAGGCTCTTAAGATCTTCTCTAGGATTAGTCTTTTACATGAGAGAAACTAAATTTCTATTGCATTTGGGCTGCTATGAAATGTGGATCTCTGTCTCATTCAGTTGAACCCATATCCTGATTAATAAACTATGCAAATTTCCCCTTATAGTGAACACAGATCAGAATGCATGTGTGTTCGTCCCTCTGGTAATCCTATGTCATATGACGAATTAATACACTAGTCAGAGATCAGGAGTCTGCCTTCTACAGCCAACCTGCCAGTCAGGGCCAACAGCAGATGCCCCAGAGTCTAGCCTCTTGGGAGGGCTCCTGGGGGCCAGTCTCCCAGCCTTACGGTAATTAAAATGGCTCAGAAGGCACAGAGCACGTTGAAACCTCGGCACAACACAAACAATAGCAGTGTGGCCAGGACTCCCTCAAAGTCTGAACCACCAGAGCTGCTATCTCATCAGT